ATCTACATCCCTCCCTAATATCGTACAATTTCCCTTTCTGCTGCCTTTGTTTCCTCCCCCATTATTTTTATATTTTTCATTCCAAAACTTTACACTCCTCTACCCCTCCCCAGTTCCTTTTCTATTTGTGCCGGGTTTCGACTACAGCCAATGTCCGAGGTTTTGTTCTAAAGCCACCTTCCCTTAGTTACTACAATTTCCTGTTCTAATTAACATCTTTTTCCCCACTCGCATTATATCTTCGAGGGAGTAGGTTAGCGATACCCCCGTTCGTTTTAGTATTTGGCCCTGGACGGATCAAAAGTTGTTGCGGACCTTAACTTCGGCCACGAGCTCTGAAGGGTGATGGTTTGCCTTTTTCTTCCTAACAGCTTGTTAGTTATTTCTTTTGTAGCCTTTCTGTCTTCCTTACTTCTATTCAATGAGGTGCGCAATCTATGACTCCGCCTCTTCGAAAACTGGCTACCTAGCTACTTTTACCCATATACCCTTTGATACCCTGTCCTCCCGATCACAAAATTATGACCATCTGCATGACTCCGTTTCTGATATCTGCCTGCGCAGTGCCGAGAGTCCGACGACCAATCAGTATTGGAGGGAGGCAGACGCGCTAGCGCTGTCCAATTTTCAGGATACAGGCGCAAGAGTATTTATTAAGGATTTGTGCATAAATCCCAAGCCATTCACCCATTGATGATATCATCCATCCGTAAATAAAATTGCCCAGTTATAAATTTAATTTCTAAGCCTCCATTTTCCGTATAATATTTAATAATACAGCATCGCGCCTCAGTAAGCTTTCGCTGAGTTCCCAAAGGAAGAATAGGGACTGTGGAATGCAGAACTACACACACAAAACAAGAACAAGGAAATAGCCAGGAGCACATGAAGGAGTCTCGATGGGTATCTTACATAGGACATAGGAAGAAGGCAGGGGGGCAAGGGCGCAAAAAAGTCAGTGGAAAATACAATCGTAATAGTTGGTAAGGGGGCCCTGCTGCGGGTACAAACGTTGAGCAGAGTCGCACCTAGAATTTATAATGGCCATGAAACGTGCGAGAAAGGAAAGAGTCTTGCTTTACGTAGTGGGCTAGATCATCTCTTCTGGAAGTCCATCTATAATAAGTTAAAAAAGGAAATATAACCAATGTGGGCATATGGGAAAGTCCATATTTTTGATATCAACAGCCAAATGAAGAAAAATGCAGACGGACACAGCACTCCAGTGTCTGATGTGAGAGAGGATCTTGCGACAAGGATATGAGTAACTGGTAGCAGAGGGAATAAGCATTGAATGCCCTTCAAGAACGGGCTGGGTAAACTTTATGAGAAAAGGAATATCTATTCTGCTAATGATTGACAATTTTTACCTCACCAGGCTCACCATATTCAGACTCATCATGAGAATCGTCATCTCCCTGCATCCCCAGGATTTTCCATGCACGATCCATGACTCCTCTGCCTTTGGTAGGAAGGATCTGGCCTCCAGCGTCGTTTAACTCCATCGCCTCACGGGGGCCGGAGACCTTGGCCAGTGAAATTTCGGCAAAAATCCCTGCCGTATCCAGGTGATACGAGTTTTTCTTGATGCTCTTATGCTCTTTCCGCGCCCTTAAGCGCTCACGCCGCGCGACATCGTCTTTCCATTGTGCCCATTGCTCGTACTCTTCCCTTTGCCGTAGAACTTGGTACCTGGTTGTGGATTTAATTGGCCGCCACGACAGGCGGCTTGCTGCATCTGGGGGAAGAGTGGACTTGAGATCCACGAATTTGGATTCTTTCGTGAGCTTCAGTAAATGCGTGAGAACATCCCTGCATTCAGAAGCAGCATTATATTCCGCTCGCTTGTCTTCGGGTGCGATCTTGGGCCGAACAAGGGGAGTATCCAACCAAGAGCGCAGGTAGTTTGTACGTTGCACAGAATAGGGGTCCATAAAGTTCGCACGACGATTGTCTTCGCGGAGAAAGCGTACTGCGGATTGCAAGTTAGCTACCTCTGCACGCAATGCTTCATTTTCTTTCATCACGGCGGAAGATGCAGCTGCGTCTATAGACATGACGCCATCTGCACCAAGAACGACGCCAGTGGATCCTGATGCTCGCTTCAATTTTTCTAGTCGAGCTCTATAATCATCTCGTTCACGCTCCATGTTTTGTAGGTCGGCTGATTGTTTCTCTACAATGCCTATTAATTCCTGTTCCTTCTCTTGCAATGCTTCAAATTTAGACCCAAGCTCCTTAACTAAGGCTGCTTTCTTCCCAGCGTCACGCATTCTCGATTCAAGGAGCTCGATTTTGATTGTTTGCTCCTCGAAGGCTTTGTCTTTGACGCCGAGTGCAGTAGATGTCTCATGAATTTCGTTCTTTAAACGTCGAATCTCTTCATCTGCATCTGGAGAAATCACTTTGTTCGACTTAAGTTCATTCGCTCGTATGGTCCAAGGGGCCGGATGGCGTTCAAACTCAACAGTCTGGGTCAGATCAGAAGAAGCATTAGAAGCCTCTTCAAGATAAGATCCCAAAATGCGAAGTTTATTGGCAGTTATGGACAGAGCGTTGTTATCATCCGATTCAGCCACAACAGAGGACGGTTGTAGAAGAGACATGACAGTCTGTGACATATTGGAAGTAATGTCGGCATATGTGACTGGCTCTGTTCGCCCTTCCTCCTCCGTCAGTAACGCTATGTTTTCCCCGAGCTGTCTGGCAAGTTCCGAGAGTTCTTTAGCTGCCCCCTCGCATTTCTCAAAAGGATCCGCGCAGTCTTCAGTCAATGCAAGGCACCTTGATTTCAAGTCATCCAAATACCGGGTAATTTTTCCAGCAATTATTTTTCCGGTCCGGGTTTGGTTGCCCAGCGCATCGATTTTTTGATATAGTAACAGCCCTTCCTCGTCATCATCACTTGGAGGTGGTAGCCTAGCCTGTAATGTCGATCTTAGTTGGGAAAATGATAGAGCAGCATAGTCCAGATAAGTCTGTGTCATTACTGAACGCATGTAAATTCTATCAGCATGCGACTCCAGATTAGGTAGAATGAGGGCTTCAGCTAAATGTGAAAGTAGCGCGATCGATCGCTGGAGCTCAATCGCACATTTCTTTTCATCAAGCTCATTTTTCTTCAGTCCTTCAATCCGGGAATTGAGAATGCGTTCCACTGGTTCAAGTTCGTACACAGCACCTTCAAAAGCAGAGAATTCTTCGGTGGAGCAGCCATTAATGAAATTGATAAATCTGTCGCAAAGAGAGGCTATCCATGTTAACTTCTCGAGAACTTCATATGCTGTAAACACGTCTTGTCCTGCGGATGGAGACGTGGGATCGGATATCCGTTCCCGTACAGTGGTAGCCATAAGGGATGCTTTGAAGCTAACTCTTTTAAAACGTAACAGAGCAAGAATTGGATTTCGTTCGCTCTCGAAATATTCAGGCAGGTAAAGTTTCATAATCTCCAAATGCTGTGCCGATTCCTCTGCTGCCATACGACCTAGCTCCACTTCTATTGTTTTCGTTTGAGCTTTCGAAACAGATGCTTGTAATTTCATGTTTAGATCCATCATCGCCCTCGAACGTGCGGTGAGCTCAGTTGACTCCGTTTCTGTGAGCTGCTGTGAGACTCGCATGTCCTCGAGGTCACTCTGTAAATTTGAGACAAGCTCTCGGAATTTGGACAAGGTATACTCTAGATCCTCAATTACCTCATCCTGTTGAGCCATTCTTCGTGCCTGTTCAAGATAGACAGTCTCCCTGAAATCCATTTCCTCTTGTAATTGCTTTTCCGTCTCCATATGATTAATTTCCAGTTCGTCATTTATTTCCTTGAGGCTCTCAAGGTCTTCAATCACAGCTTTCAACTCATTCACTTGCTCCTGATACTGCATATTTTTCTCGGCCAGCTCTTCAATCATGTCCTCAGCGCCGAGAGCTTCAACTTGTTGTTTGAGATCCTCCATATTTGCTTCAGTAATAAGAAGTTGTTCCTTTGCTATCTCATAATTAGCCTTAATAGCAGCAAAATCCTCCAACTCCCCTTCCAATTCTTTGATCTGATTCCGTAAGTCAGTCTCTTGCTGTTGCGTCATATCGCGAAGACGAATGAGGGCCTCACGAAGCCTCTCGTTTGTTCGTTCCATCTGGAGCCAGCCTTGACTCGACTTTTCTTCAGGGCTCATCACTTGGCCTAGTTCCTGATTCTCTTCCCTCAACACTTCAACTTCTAGTTCTAGCTCCTCCGATTTCTCCTTTAGGGCTTCAAACTCGGCCTTGATGGCCTCACACATCTCCTCTGCCATTTCCCTATCAAGGGTTGCCATTTCGACAATTGATTCATGTTCAGCCTGAAGACGTTCCGCTTCCTCGACTCTTGCCATGGCATCCTTTAGCTGTTTTCGAAGCTGGGTAATCTCCTGCTGTTGCGGCTGATACTTCGTTTGTAACTTTTGGATGATCACCTCGAATTTATCCCTTTCGGATCGTAATATCTCCAACGATTTCAATTTCTCCCTATCTTCTACTCGTTTTTTCTCCATTACCCTTAACTTCGTTTTCAGATCTTCCACTTCTTTAAGTACAGGATTGGTTCCCGACACCGATCGTTGTGGTACAGCAAGGGAGACTCGAGGAGCGGATGTAGGTTTACTTGACTCTGAGTGTGTGTTGGAGGATTCGGTATCCCCAGTTTCCTCACCCAACTCGCTCGTTGGGCTCCTGATCTTTTCGATGTTAGTTGTTCTACTACTAGCTGTAGGTCTGGGGGAAATCCGTTTGGTCGGACCGGTAAAGGTAGGTCGAGGTGGTTGACTGAGAGGACGGGAAGCTTTGCTTGATGTACCCATTAGAGATTGTCGAGGCCCTTTCGCAGCCACTGCAGTAGGAGTGGGGGCCATTGAATTACGGCCGCTTAAACTCTGTCGGGGTTTCGAAGCAGTGGCGGGAGGGCCCGGCCCAATAGTGGATGTTCGGGAAGTGGTTGACAACTGTTTTGTGGGCGATTTTGTCGGGGACTATAAACCGTATTAAACTATATTCGGAAGAATGAAATTGAGGAGTTTCCCTACCCTGAGAGATCGACCTGGAGCTCCAGGCCTTGGAGCCGGCGAAGGGCTGGGGGTGGTGCTCTGTTTCATAGAAGCATTTGGGCCAGGTACGCTTTGTTTTTTTGGCACAAGGCCGCTACCAGCAGTGCCGCTCGGCGGCCTGCTTCTCTGGGAAGCTCTGTGTAGACCTCCTTTGGGTCCCGTCTTGCGTTCCTCTTGTTTGGGTTGTTCTAGCACACTGACGACTGCAGCGGGCCTGACGAACATTCCGAAGCCATGTTCACAGTCGAAGTATCGTTCTCCCTGGACAGATCCATCATTCTTACCCGTTGGCTCACCTAGCTCCACGCCAATCCAATCTCCGGGAGCAAAACTGGTACTGCCGATGAAGCGGATGATTGCGTTTCGGCCATCAGATAAACAGACCACCTGGCCAGGGGAAAGATCACCCATCTTTGAGGAGGAACTTCCAGCTGAGCATCAGAGACAAACGCAAAACAGGTGCAGTCCGAACAGCGGACACGCTGCTTTGGGGAGGGCCGTGTGTTCCTGGTGCTAATGATGTTGTCTGTTGTTCCTCTTTGGCGGCCCCTTAAACAAGCTCAGGAACGAACTCGGTTTGACGTGGACCGCGACCTGTCAAACAAGACAAACACACCGCTTGGCATCAACGTCAAGAACCGCACTTGAAGTCGGTTTCTTCAAGGCCTTCTACGCAGCATTTGTCAAAATATGGACCGACTCTGCTCTCCATCATATACGTATGACAGATCCTCTTCCGGACGAGGTGTTCATCTCAGTTCGTCGTCGGCCACAGAACTACATACATCGATCTTGTACCCTCTCATCTTGGGCTGCAATAACAATAGATAAGATCGAGGTTCCAAACTATATTACAGCCACCCAGGCCCTCCCAGGAATGAGCAGTCTGTCCCTACTTAACGAGAGCAGTGTTTCCAAGAACTGTACTCCAGGGATTTTCGGATTCGGATTCTGTGAGCTGAGCAAGCTGACGGTGATAATCATGGGATTCTACTCCGAGCTTAAAGACCTGTCATTGCACTGATGTATGACAAATATAATTGAGGAACAACCAAAGATTCTGGAGCCATCCGTCAGGTTAAAAATGTCTGTCTCTCTGTATTTGGATTTGTGTCAGCTCACGCAGCATCCCGAAACACATGGTGACGGATAGTGGGAGGTCCCTCCAGACAGCGCTGGTTTATTCCATTGACGGTCACAAAACATCTGACATTAGTATATTACCTTCTTTTTTGAGGATCACTTGACCCATCCCACACACTTCGGTCGGACGAGATGCTTACAAAAGTAAAGTAGCACAAGATGGACACCACCTGCTGGAAAACCCTCTAGCTTGTATCATATCCAGGTAACAGATTGCAGGGAGTTACATCCCACTTCATCCCAAAACACCCAGAAACCTGCCCCTAATATCAATCACCAGTGAGTGCTGCTGATCCCCTAAGGACTTCAAAGGTTAGTAGCACGGTTGGGGGAAGCAGGACCCTAAGAGGTCAAAAATGACCGACATTCTACAAACCAGAGCAGCACCTGAGCGTAAAAGCCATGCAAAACCCTTTGGCCAATCAAGAGGAGCACTCGTTCCCGGAGATGTTGGCAGAGCAAAAGCGCGGAGACGTCATTAAGAGAAATTCATAGATATTCCCTCCCGATGAAACTTAGGGATGCATACGGAGAAAGCTCAAAGTTGTGCAGATGAGAAACAATGTCATAAAATAAATGATGCACAACCTGCATGCTAAGATCCCGCATGCTAGCTCTTCCATCGGGATGTCGGCGGTTTTGGTGCGCTGTGGCTGACGTCCCACTAAATTCTCGTATTAGCAACACGAAAGAAGAAACCCAGAGCACAGCTTTTCCAAGCCGACGTGTAGTCTCGCTTTCCAATCAGATGTTCGCCAAAACCAATGCCGGCAAAGACGAAAGAGTCGAATCCCCGGTTTTCCATTCACAACATTGTCGTCTCACGCCTCGATCTCACATTTCATCTGCCGCCCACCCCAAGGCCGTGAATCGAAGACACAAAACAAATGAAGCTTTCCTCTCGAGCCCTTTCTGTCCATTTTCAGCCATGCAGTCTTGCAAGAAAGAATGGTGTTCTCCCAATGAATGTGCCTACTCCGACTCCGCCACGTTTTCCCGCACCCAAACATTTTTCTTCCAGAACGCCGAATCCAGCCCACCGTTCCTCGCAAGGACTAAGGCCATACATGCAACAGCAGCAAAACACCTTCCTAGCAATTGGGCCGTCAAATAATGCTTTTGTGGCGTCAAGAGCTATCGGTGGAATTTGTACGTGAGCTCCGACGCATGCGAAATCCACACACTCAAAAATCGTACCGGTATCGACTGCTTACCCCACAGATCTCCGGTTGGATTGGAGAAGTCGTGTTGCCGTGAAAATAACTTTCCCATGAAATATAAATCAAGGCAGTTTTCTCTTTGGAAAAAAATGTTGTCTATTCGAAGTCCCACTCCCGAATACAGGGCTGCCCAAGCTTCATTCCCATCTCTGTGCATATCGCTTTTGCTGTCCCTTTGGATATCAAATTTTCATTTTTTTGTTTTATTAACCCCTAGTTATTGATTATTAAAACTCATTTGCCAGGCGACCCAAAAATGTCAAAAATATGGGCGGATACACCCATGAGCCTGATCTCGGAAACTGGATATAAGGAACGCTCCGATATCCCCCTCGGCCATTTCGCCATCACAGCCGCCCAGAACATGGCCCACCTGCATAACGTGATCATCCGCGGCTTCAACTCTTCGTACAACCAATGTCTCGCCGTAAAACCAGACACTGTCGACGCGAGCGATTTCCTGATTTACAACCGCGCTTTATACAAGAACATCAAATCCCACCACGATGTGGAGGAGGAGATCTCGTTCCCAGGCCTCGTAAAGTTGACGGGAGTCGAAGACATCATGGACCAGAACATTCAAGAGCACAAGGACTTTGAGGATGGCCTCGAGAGGTTCCGCGAATATATTTTCGAGACAGATGCTAGGTCGTACGATGGCAAGAGCTTATGGGAGGTTTTGGATGATTTGGCTCCGGCGCTTCATAAGCATCTGGTCGGGGAAATCCCGACGCTCCTCGATCTTGCGAAGTACGACTCGAAAAAGTTGGAGGCGTGGTGGAGCCAAACTGGGAAGAACGCCACGAAGAATATGGATGTGTTCCAGTATGGGTCTCTTCTTCTTCTTCCCTACCCTGTTCGGTGACTATTTCCCTGCTTACCCTATTAATACAGAGATGCACCCTTTATGCTCGGCTGTATGGATTCCACGTTCAAGATAGATGGGGAATCTCGACTTTTCCCCCCGGTCCCGCCGCCAATCAAGTACTTATCAAAATACGTTCTACAATGGCGATATTCGAGAGCATGGCGCTTCAGTCCGTGCGATGCTTTTGAGAACCCCAGGCCTCTAGCGGCTCCGAATCCTGAAGTTTCTAAGCAATAGATCATTGGCTCGATTGGACTTTATATCTTTCACTCTTATTTGCTCCTTCATTCTCCTTGATGACATGGTAATACTTAGGTCTGCGGCCTGTTGTTTGTAATATTCCGAACATTTTTTTTCCCCTACACTTGAGGGAGGGAGCTACTACCGTTTATTCCGGGGGCGTATACATAATTTCCTATTGTTAGCATATATGCACATTCATATATCGTCTTGACATCCTCCTGCCGATCTCCACTATCTACATCACCATCACAACCATATACTCAACCATTCAGTCGTTTTAGAAGTTATCATGTGCAATGAACAAATTGAATCCCCTTAAATCCATCTATACCGCTAATATGAATCCAAAACACTACACGTATTCGTACCTTGGTACGCAAGCCCAACTGCATAATTCTAAGAAAAAACAACTCAACGGAAAGGAAAAAGAAAACCAGGTCCTCTAAAATCGAAAACGCCCCCATACGTAAATATTCGTCTAGATCGTTGAGCTTGCCGACTTAAAGAACTGCGGGAATAGATCCCGAAGCTCCTCGAGACGTCGAATCTGATACTTCGATGCTGGCACCTCTGGTGGAATAATATGTGGCTCCACAAAATGTATCGTCTCCCAACCGCGGTCTTGAGCATTTCTACAGTTCAGAGCGGAATCGTCTGGCGCCACCACAAATAGGAGAACAACAAATTAGAAATAAAGGAGTCAGAACGGTATGCCTCGTGTGTTTTAGGCAAACAAAAGATGACAATATGGATGGTAGTATCTCTTCAAATTTCATGTATGAAAAAGAAAAAGAAAAAAAGAAAAAAAAAAAAAAGAAAAAAAAAAAAAAAAAAAAACACTCACCAACGAAAAAACAACCCCCGGCCACCGTCGCGCCCGCATCTCTCTCCGCCTTCTCAAACATGGCCATGTCAGGTTTACATACCAACTTCAGCGCCGCGTAGTCGCAGAACGTGAGGCCTTCAAACAAATCATCCACACCCAGCAGCTTCACCACCCTCTTCGCGTGGGTGGAGTATGCATTCGTGAACAGCCACAGCTTCACCTTGGTCGTGTCGAAGTCCTGCAGGAAAGAGCGGAGCTGCGGGTCCGGTTTTAGGATAGAGTCGAGAGGGAGAGCGTCGTCGACTTGTCTGTTGAATTCGAGAGGGTTGATCCTGTGGTGTCGGGTTAGGCCTTCGATGGCTAGGCCGTATTCCTTGTAGTATTTTTGGTGAAGCATTGTGGCGTCTTGGGAGTCAAGGGAGAGGTGTTTGGCGAAGAAGTTGTCTGGTTTTTTGAGGGGAGGAGGTTAAAAAAATAAAAGGAAGGGCCGGGCTAATGTTGAGATAATCATATTGATGCAATGATAAGAAGTATGCATGAAATACATACTGATAAGTCGTTGCATTAAGTCGTGAATTCTATTGCCTGGCTGGTTCTTAGCATAGCTGTTCAGGTAGTTACATAGACATATTCACCCAGGGGTGCGGTCTTACTTCTCGAGTAAAGCTGTGTAGGGGCCGAACATATGTGTATAACGATAGACAATCAATCAGCCCAACCGTAATATAAAAATGATAAGATATGGCCAGTGGTATTCTATTTAAGCCATCAGCTTAAATATATTACACATACGTACACAGTTATCAATATCGAAAAAGAATACAGGCCGTAAGTCATGAGCTGGTAGGCTAGGCTCAGGCCTTGTGCTATTCTCGAGGTCTTCGTCTTGGAATCCCATCATCGCCACAGGCCCTATAGTTAGTTTAGAAAACCTGACGAATAACCCCTTTTCTAGTTTGTATACACAAGATACTCAAGCCGTCCCAAGGATAAGGAGGATGGGTAGATTGGAATCTCAGCAAAGTTCAACACTGGATGCTCGGGATGCAACAAAGCCCCTGTCTATAAAGTGCCCCGCCTAGAGCCACGCGCAAGAAACGTTGATATTTATCTGTATGAGCGAGCAATGTTCGAGCAATGTTCATGCTCCTGTGACGAGACTTCGAGTAAATGTTCAACCTGGCGCTCGGATAAATGATGTTCCGATACAAGGATGTGTGCCCAGCCTTGCTCCTGATTGGCTGGCCGCGGAATCGCCTGCAACAGCGAAAACTCCGCGTAAGCGAGGTGGATGCAAAGACCTCCAAAGACCTCCAGGGTTGTTTCTTGCTGTTTCTTGCTCTGTGCCCGCAGGGTGGAGTTTGAACGGCTGGTTCTCATCGCAGGCCACAGCCATTCTGTCACAGCAATCTTGCCTGCTTCGCACTACACAGGAAAGTGGAATGCGTGTTGTGGGAAGGTTGCTGTCGTCGTTCTAACTAGGACTTGCCTTAAGACACCCACATCATCGTCGTCTGAGTGCCACTATCGCCATGTCCGTAGCCGACAGTGTGATGGGCCTAGTCAATGGCCATCGCGGCAATCAACCAGATCTGAAGGAGATGATAGAGTACGAGAAAATTGTGAATCTACATGACCAGATATTCTCTGGAAATCATCCAAGGTTAAAGGTTCCCCAGCATGTTGTTCGCAAGGTTACCACCCGCTCTGTGCAAACACCTCCGCTCCCTATTGTCCATTCAATTCCTGCAGAGCCGCTGGAAGCTCCGCAGATAAAAACACATCCCATTCCTTCCAGCATGCAGCCTAACACATTGGCATTGGCAAATGGTTCTACTGCGGCGGCGGCGGCTCCGGCTGGGGCTGCTCCAGCTGCTTCACAGGCCGCTGCTACCTCCAGTCACAGCGGTCCCAGTGGCCATCTAGCTACTCAAAAACCAGCATCTGAAATTGATCCTATCTTCCTTACCAAATCTGACGACCTGATTAGAGCTGAATTACAACTCCAACGGCAGCGGGTTGAGCGTACATTGCGTGACCGGATTGAGCAGAGGAAGATTGAGTACAGACTAAAGACGTGTCTCCAAGAAGCGAAGCCTGACTTCGACGTTTCAGAAGTCTTGAGAGAGGCATTGCTACTTGTTAAACCTACTTCAACAACTGATCTGGATGGGGCTAATGCAGACACCGCAGCCAATGATTCTCTCGAGGACAATTCGTTCTACTCGAGCAAAGCCCCCGATTCTCCTCAAATCGGTGACCGAACTCAGCAACTATCCACCGCCGCCCGACAAGATCCGGTCCGACCAGCAGAAGACAACGAGATTCCTTATGAAGGTCATGTAGTCCGGCAGCGTGTTGAGGGTCGCAATAGTGATTCCGGTGATCGCGATATGATGGATGTGGAGATGCAGGAACCACTGTATAATGTTGCAGACAAGAATGGGCCTTCAAGGAGCCCAGAAAACCTCACTCCTCGTCGCCCCAGTCCCAGCAGATACCATGGCCGGGAGCAGCCTGATATGTACGATGAGCCAGAATACTCCCCACCCGGTCCAGATATCCCTTTGAGACGGAGAGAGGAAGAGGGAGATTATATTCAGGAACCAGTACCAGGTATACACTATAGGCGGAGGAGTTATGGCAGGCCGGTAGATCGTGGTCAGGATGCGAGGCGTGTTTCACCACCAGGTCATGACATTAGGGTCGTCAGAAATCATATCACTTCTCCAGCTGCCCCACAGCCCTCGAGAGTTTCTCCGCTTGCTGTTTCAAAGGTGCCGTCACTTCCCCAAAGTCGGCAACATCGGCACACACGCCCTGTCGATAAGGTGACCAACGTGCACGGATCTGCACGTACAAGCCCTGAAATTGCTCCGCCCCTTTTAAATCCCCGAAAACGGCGACGTACTCAGGAGAATAGATCTCGTGTTGCCAATGAAGGAAGGGTGGCAGACTCATCCGATCAACCCTATATCAAGCCCGAGCCGGTTTCTCCTCTGGCATTGTCCGATCTCCCTCTTGCTAGCTCATCAAAACAGCGACCACACCACGAGGGACCTGTATATGTTGATATTTCCTCCCCGCGATATTCCCCCGTGGACAATCGGCGGGAGAGTGGGCAAAGAAGAGTATACGAGGAACATACAGATAGAGGCTATGATATGGGACACCCTATCGATTTGAGTATCCCGCGGTCTACATCCAGAATTGCTTACACGAAACCATCTCGCGATGACCAAAACCTACGTCGTGTTGCAAGCTTGCACAATGTTAGACAGCCTGAGTATGTGCATGACTATATAGAGCCGCCAACTGACTACCAACCCCGACTGATACGAGCCACTTCCTATGCCGTAACCGACCGCCCAGCCCCGCAAGAAAGGGTTAGATATTATGAGGAGCCAGCACAACCGTACGGTAGAAGATATATATCTGGGGACGTCTCGCCTCCCCGACCATCAAGGCTCCGTGAATCTTATCCAGAGATAGAGCCGGAACCCCGTGTCATGGCCCCACCTCAGCGACGCGTAGTAGTCGACGCTGATGGCAATCGATACATCGAACAAATAGCCACCCCAGCCCCCAGGCTCCAACCGTTGTCTACTCCATCAGGAAGATTCGCGAGGATGGAGTCATATAACGAAGGTCCTTCCCACATGGCAACCGGTGGCATTCGTGCTAGCTCTGTAATGGAGGACCCTTACCATGACCGCGGCTACTCCCAAAACATGCCGCCTCCGCCTCTAACTTATCGACGGGCACCAGCGCCGGAATATCCTCGCGAAGTCGTTCGTGAGCGGCCCATCTACGCCCGTGAGGTTGACGAGCGAGGACTCGCCGACTACGCACCTCCTCTTCGGCATGCGACCTATTTCGAGGATCCCTTGCCCAGGGAAGATATGGTGAGGATGTCCAGCGTTCGGCCCCCACCGTCGCGATACGGGGAGCCTTCCCGCCAGCCACTGCAACGTATGCAGAGTAACAGGCCTGGCGGGCGTGAGGTAAGTGTGTACGTGGACGATGAACCACGTCCGCGTCGCGAATATGCCCCTGTTGAGCGGGCTGGGTTTGCGACTGCTCGTCCTGTGAGGGAGGAGCAGTATTATGATGATTAGGAGGCCTGGAGAATCGGGATGGAAAGAGTTAAGATATGGTGCAGCAGCGGGTTGCGTGGCGTTACTATTCGGCGACTCCGTCAGTAACAAGGGATTCTCCTCCCTTCAGATACACTGCTAGTTGTTGTGGCTGGGTATATTCGCGTGGGTGAGTTAGTGTTTTGGGTTTTGCTTTTTTCCGTTTGATTTCGAGCGGGCTGCGGCATCAACAACGCCGATATGAGCAAGTGGATTGAGAAGGCTGTTTCTGGAGGCAAGCGGGCGAATCTTCCCATCACATCAGTGATCATCTAAATATTGGATCGATTTGAACTCAAGATTGCCTAGCAGTAGCCCGCAATGATTGGAATGGCCCTACTGACTATTCTCTTAATTTTGTTATTTACTTCTTATTTTTTATTTTTTTTTTTCATTTTTAAAAAAATTTTCGTTTCTATGATCTTTCTCGATATTGTTATCGATACCTAATCTACCTACTAAAGTTGCCTTATTGAATTCGACACCGCGGGAGCCTAACTAGCACTCATATTACTTCTGTGCTCTCCGTACCAGGGTACGAGTTCGGATTCTTGCCAACTGCCAGGCTCAGAACTTGGAAGTTGGAGCCATGTTCAACTTGGAACCTTGGGGTTTTGAACCACATTCAGCCGTTTCGTACCCAATTCAAGCGTTACGGACATTTCCTTTCCCCCTCTTGTTCAATGACTCTCAGAATGTGTGTGCTACACTATTGTGGACTAGCACATCACAAATAAATGCCTCAGTTGTTAATAAAACTGCGTACACAGTAGTCTTATCTCCGCATTTCCAGTCGGTGCGGCATGGGCGATGGCTTTCTCCTCCGATTGACTTCTAACAATCAACGCCATCCTGCCTTACTGAGCCTGGCGCTTAGGGAAAGGAAACAATCTTGCTAGAATGCAAGGGCCATCATTTGAGACTTGCCATCCGACGACTGTTCAACGTGGTTGCGCCATAGGATACAGCCTAGATGGTGTCAAGACTCACAGCACCGCTACCTCGATGATTTTACAGCGGCCGTTCGGGATACAACAGTAACTTTCCTCCTTCTTCCCCATAGGCATGGAATGCGTTTCATCAAGGCCGGTACAAGCTCAGATATTCCATCTTGAATGCGTTCGCCTGCACTACCAAACTTACCTTGAGGCGCGAGGTGTGTGGGACGAGGATCGAAAGAACAAGCTCACCAGATTTTACGAAGGTGGGAATGGCTGGATATCTGATGACGACCGGTTAGCCTTGCGGATTCAGGGTAGTAATATGGTGTCTCAAAGGATTGCCACTAGCATAGACCAGGGGCCTGTAGGCATGGAGTTAAAAAACCAGTCTCTACTTGGCTTCCGTCAGCCTGGTCACGTGATGAGATAGGCTGGGGATTCGGTTGCCATGCTCGATGGAAGAGATGACAAGGCTCATAGAGCAGCGCTACGTGCTAACTACCCACTGAGGTTTATGTATCATTTAGCTCAATGTGTCGTATAGCGTTGTTGCCTCTCATGTTACACTATATTCTGCCATATTGCCTTTAACTATAAGTAGAAGATCAAAGCATATGTTTTCTATTCTAGTTGAAGATATTATTTCTCAAGATATCAACAAAAACTCTTCATCAATATAATTGATCACCTTTATCATATACAATTTATTTTTTATTTAATATTATTATTCTATCAACTATCCAAGTCCTTTTCTACTCTATATCAAGATTTACGATAAATTCTTTATGTGACGGGTCAGCACCTTGTTAGCAGTTAGCTTACATAGCACACAACCAACCCTCTATGGCCGCTCACCCCTCTCCGAGCTAGTCAATAACATATGACTTTGTAGCCCCTTGAAATCTGTTCCCCCACACTATTGCCACATCGATATCACCAGCAAAGATTTACTATACAAAAGCTGCATTTTCATCTAGTAATGAATTGCTGTCAAGAGTTTATAATAAAGAATGCCGGAGCGATTTACTTCAAAAGGATCTACTGAACATGCCTCCTAAGGATGAGCTGTATCCGCTTGTTTGTAACAAGGTAAGTTGTTTCGTTTGGCATTTGAGCTTCATACTTTCGCAAAATAGCCTCGCTTTGGCATTCGGATGCCTGGGCCAAAGCTCTACTGAACCTACTGCGACCACGTACGGTTCCCTTGGCAAGAAAGCCTGGATTCTTGCAAAAGGCAACGCAACTATAAGCGGAAGCCGGCCTTAGACCAGGATATAATGGTTATTGGCGTTTTGCGGGAAGGGGACGCGGGTTTATTCGAAGTGGAACAACCTCCCTATTTGCGGAGTCCAACGTTGAAGCCATATATATATAATACAGGTAGGTGGTCATTTAGTCCCATAAATAAACGAAAACCTTGAATTTACCGCCCATGTTTCCCCACAAGACGAACACTTAAATTTATATTCCGGGTGGCCATTTTCCTTCTGTGCCATCCACTCATATACGACTTGTATCAACCCGCGAGCAAATCAATACCACCCGCTCTTTGATATCCCTCGAAGCATACAGCACTCCATCCTTTCCAAACTCTCACCTGAAATCTACATACGTAAAACATACCGAGGCGAACAATCACCCAAGCCATATCTGTCATTTCCAGCGACGTGGCTTATACTGAACGTTACATCAACTATTTTTTTAGGCCCCCTCCTCCCCCACGGGGGGGAACTACCAATTTCACAGCACTGGAAAATCGATGCAGTGGATATACTGAATCATTCTTTAGGGAGAAAGTTTTGAGACCCATTTATAGCAGGGAAAACCGATTGATAAATCGAAGTCCTGAAAAATGACAACTTGATGATACGCCTTTGCCTTTTTGGGTGGATACCAAATTACGTTGTGTTTTGTTTCTCAATCAAGAATTCGAGTTCAAAAAAAAAAAAAAAAAAAAAAGAAAAAGAAAAGGGCATTTCTTTCCCTTATCCATTGTATACAGGCCGGCCCCTTTGTTTCAATGAGGATGTATGCACACTCGACCCATGGACATAGAATGGGGGTTTTGTGTATTCGATTACTCCTGGAAAATTGTACGGAAGCTTGATGTGGGCTAACTAGTTATTATTAGCTTAGAGCGCCATTTGCAAACGCTCTCTCTAATGTTTAAATATTTTACAGTTGGAAGGTTATTCCTTCCAACTCCACATTACCCAACCTGTCACTCCCCAATCGAATCCACCTCTCTTCCTCCCTTGCCAGACAAGCTAAGCTGCTGTCGAAATTCGTAGTTCCCTTTTATTAAAGTTTCTAGCAGTTCGTCATGTCGGGTTTGGTTTGGCGTTTGATCATTTTTAAGTTGCTCAACTTGTTTGGAGTTTCCGGACAGCCGGGGGTTAAAGTTTTAACCTATATATATACATATATATATATATATTGGCGGATCCGTGTTCCATTATAAGACATGATCCATGGAAAGTTGAGGGTGAAGAACGTTTCCATGCTCTCATGAAACCATTCTCGAGCCGTTCAACTAGATAATGACGAGGGCCATGACGATGATAGAAATTACCACTTGTTCAACACATCGCCATAGTCTAGAACGTAGGAGTATTCCGTATCAAAAGCCATCAATACGCTGTTGACATAGCGGCTGTATCAGATTTTCACTGGTGTATCCTGCTCCAACAAGAGCGACATGCGTTTGACGGTTGGGGGGGATAAGTCCTTCAAGTGCGCGATTGTGTGTCGGAGACACCAGGAGATACAGTAGCATATGTACTGTACATAGACATGTATGCACACCGAACGTTCGTGCGAAATCTATGACATCTTCATCTCCAGCTCTCCCGGCCGGAATCCGCAGCCTCGCTGACTGATCACACACGTGACCTGACTGGGCCATCCACCTTGCTGAACCTTCTCCGCCCACTTTGCAAAGTTCGTTCTATCTCGCTGTTTGTTTTTGCTGCTTCTGCTTGCTTCTGGTTACCTTATTCCCCCTGTGCTGCTCTCTGTTGCCCTGCAGACTTCCTGTTTTTATCTTTCTTGGTTTGTTGGTTGCTGTTGTTGCTGTTACCGCTGCTACTCCTGCTGCTGCTGGTATAGCAGCTAGTGATTTGGACTTTGTCCTTCCCATCCTACCGCTGCCGTCCACATATCCTTGCAGCGACACATCAAGAGACACCCTTGAGTGGGAGAGCGATGAGAGTTGTTGCTTCTGTCCCGCCCAACGGCAGTTTCTGATCCCGAATCCCAATCCTGCTCCGTCAATCAATCCACTCGATCGTGTGTTGATTCGAGAGCACTTGGACCTCGATTCCCTGCCTAACCCTCCTAGTCTAGCCAGCCGCCTAATCCGCTCTTTGTCAGGCCCTTCGGCCAGGATCTGGTGTGCAAACCAGTGCTGGGATTTTGTTGGCGCTCAGCCTCTAGTTTCGCTTGTTCCTTCGAGCCCTGTTCACTACCCTCAACAAAGCCCAGACAAATCCGACTCCAGCTTCAACGACTGCTCCCCGTCCTTACTGCCGCCAACTTGGGAGTCTTACGCTTGTCCTTGCGATAGTGCTGGTTCACACCACGGTCTCCGCTCCCACCACCTCTCTCTCGCTCTCCCCCCTGCTATCTCATCCAGGGTCACTTAAATACCCTTGCCAATCCTAACCTAGGAATTCTCTCCTCTCCTCGTGTAATCCCCTCTAACTGCCATCTGCTCCCTCAAAAATTTTTTGAGGGGACAGATTTAACCGGACCATCATCATGCACAAGATCACCAATTTTACAGGCCAGGCCCGTCATGGGTGGGAAAGAATGACCCCGACATTTAGCATTTCCCGGCCTCATCAGGACATGTCGCAGGCCCTTCGAAGGCCCCATCACCTTCCTCCAGTTACAGTGCCGCCGGGAGCAGATGCCACTGTAACTCTCTCCTTCAACGTCCCTTTCTCCTCGAACCTTGCCGGCCCAGATCCCGAAGATGTCCTACACTCGAGCCCCGGTGCTTTCCAACGGTGGACATTTCCTGAGGGAACGCCCGAGGGTACCCCGATCCATAAACTCCCCGTCCACGCAAACAACCTAGATGCGCTGAGAAAGCTATGTCGAAATGTTAGTGAGTCCAGCCATGGCAGAATTGAAGCCACCGTAACTTCATCAGAACCCAAGGCCGTCGCCTCGTTACAACGCCGCCCGCAGGGACTCGTCACCAATGTGTGTATTTCCGGCGATGGCGAAACTGTCCAGCAAGTGCGACAGAACATTTTGAAGGAAACCCCGATAGCCCTGGTACGTGCTTGTTCAGTATATCTCTATAAAACTTTCGCTATCCTGGCCCTGGTCCCGTCTCTATATAGGATTCTCGATTCACTAACTCTGAATAAAGAAGTGTGCTACGGTTGACATTGATGTCAGCCTAGTCATGGACAAGAATACGAATGGCGTCCGGTCAAGTGTCCTTGAACACCTTGACACGCTGGCACGATATACCGGAGCAGATATCTTTCTGTTGAGCCCAAAAATCCTTGATGCTGACAGCGCCATTGTGTCATCGTATGGACACTCTACAGAAAACGGGCTAGAAAACCGGTTTCGCGTTGCGATATACAGTGATGTGGAAAGTGCGGAACATGCCAAAACTAGAGTATTGATCATGATCGATCAAATTGTAGGCGCCGTCATCATAACGCTTCCAGTACCGTAGTTTCATTGCTAACATTCTGTTGTAGTTGAAACGCCGTGTCGATGCGATGAAGCTTGAGTTGTCAATGCATACCCTGGTCTGTGGCCGTACCCGCAAGAACATCAAACTTATCGAGGCATCAACCAACACTGCCATCTATTTTCCACCACCGTTCCCACGAGTTTTTGGCTATACCCCGCCTGGGGGTAGCCGAAGAAGTGAAGACGAAGTTTACATTACCGGTGAAACTCAAGAGCAAATCAGCCTTGCAAAGCAAAAGTTGCACGACCTCGTCAGCGGAGTCAAGATCTTCATGAAGAATGTAAAACTGTCGTCGAGTAAAATCGACAATATTCTCCTGGATCGTTTGGATAAAGTTCGGAAAGTGATGGAGGCAAATGGCACCTACGTTCTCTTCCCATCGTTGGGCAGTCAGCATGGTATTGTTCGCGTTCAAGGATCCGAAGTCTTACATATCGAGCGAACGGTCAGGGAGATCATGGCGTTGGTGAGTTTTTTCATTGTTTTCACTAGACACAAGGTATACAGACTCACTCTCCTACCCAGGCCGGCCAATTTTACAGTGCATCTTGGTGGCTTATTCTCCCCGATCCTACCCAATCCGGCTCAATGAGAGGCCCGTCCCCTGCTGATGTTAGGACTATGCTTTCTGATATTTGCACGAATTCGGGCGCTGAGGTCAGCTTTGATAAACTGACCTTCACCATCAACGGCTCGGATGATTCTGTCAAAGCCGCCATGATGGTGATCCAACAGATCCCCTTCGTTAAGCGGACCCCCTACCAACTGCGTGTTAAGATCGAGCTAGCAAATGAGCACAAAGAGTTCGTCAGCGGCAAGAAAAATGGCAAGATAAATAAGATCATGGGTCAAAGTTAGTTGTTCACTCTCTCTTGTATGCACAAGGTCTGCGTGTGAATTCTTATCATGGGTTTGTTGGCAGGCAATGTTCAAATTATCTTCGACGGTTTCAATGAGTACAATTTCTACATTGACGTCTGCGGAACTCAATACGATGCTACCAGGAATGGGCTTGACCTAGTTGAGCAGGAAATGCCTGCTTCTATATCGTTCCATGTTCCTGACCAGTACCACAAGCGAATAATTGGCATTGGTGGTCAACATATCCAGCGGATCATGAAGAAGTATTCCGTTTTCGTCAAATTTTCAAATGCAATGGACCGTGGCGGTGTTGGCAAGGAGGATGATGACGTTAAGATCGACAATGTAATCTGTCGGACCCCTGCTCGGAATGCCCAAAACCTCGATTTGGTCAAACAAGAGATTATGGACATGGTTGAGAAAGTTGTAAGTTCAACAGGTTTGAAATACGCTACTATTATAGTTTGCGGTTCCACTTACGAAACTGTAGGATGCGGAATTTGTTGCTGAGACCGTCGTCATTAACCGCCTGTATCACCGCGAATTACTAGCCCGCATGTCTGAGATTGAGGAACTTGAGAAAAAATGGAACTGCAAGATAGACTTTCCAAGCACTGAGTTGGCAAGTGATTTTGTGACCATTTCTGGGCCGGAGTATCAAGTTCCTCAGGCGGTAGATGCTTTCCTGGTAAAGATCAACACGTTTCCATACCATCTAGTCTTGTAAAATGAAAATATACTAATGATGTGTAGGGAATGGTGCCTGAGAGCCATGAGCTTTCCTTCCAGACTTCCACCGAGCTTCGAGAATTTTTCAAGTCCCCCGAATTCTGCAATGATGTCCGAGGAAAACTCAAAGAGCAATATGAAGTCGATGCAGTTGTGGATATGAATGCGGAAGCGCAATCGTCCCCTGAGAATCAACCTCCACCAGAAGACCGGATCATGCTCGGGTACACCCGGAACAATGCCGGCGGACTCAAAGACGCCATTGATTTTCTCATTTCTCGACTCGTATCCCATGGCCTTGATGCAACAACCGTCAAGGGGGCCATCCAGAGACCCAAATCAGACTCCTTCGAAGAATCCTTACCATTTTTCGATTCTAAATTGCTACAACACGCCCCAGCTCCTTTAGCAACTGACTCCCCAACACGCCATAACTTCTCAGATGACGCGAGCGATCGGGGTTCCATCTTCGAACGCCTCCGCAAGCCAGGCAGCATCTCGTCCTTCTCTTCCTTCATTGGACGCAAGAACCAGTCTGGGTCCCCCGGCTCATTCTTCAAACACGCCTCCAGCAATGCTTCCAAGGCCTCCCTCATATCCATGGAGTCTCGTGACAGTGGATACAAGAATCCCTGGAACGACTCTGGTGTGAACCTCCCCGAGGACGACGTCTTAAACACCAACGGATGGGCGTCTCGTTTTGATAACAAATTTCCATTTGGGACTGCGCCGGGAGACATGACACCCAAACATGACCTTCGTGCCTCTTTTGACAGCGGCCGCCCAAGTACCTCCAATTCTACTTCTGGATACCCGGCTCCTATCGGGCCACCCCGTTGAAATCATAAAATAAAATTAAAAGGAACGAACAATAAAAGTATAACAAAAGGAAAACCGCGCGCTTCGAGAGCCCTTCGTGAACATTTTAACCATAAACGTGCATGATACATCGCTACATACAGTCCCCCAAAGTTATTCGCAATATACCCCCTCTCTACAATACCAGTCTACTGCAATCGCTTTTATGATACCAAAGGAGTAAAAAGCTAACGTCTTTGTTTAACTTCACTTAGCCATTCTTTTTACCTATTGCACTAGCTTTTTTTTTTCAATTTGCTGTGTTTGGTTGTTTTCCCTTTTTTATTTATCAATAACAAACATATGTTGCATGTGTTTTTTGAGCCATTTCTCTTTGCTCTGTTTGTTTCCTGAAAACTATATATCTCTATATATATCTACTATTCAACTATATACCCTGGATGGAAGGGAGAGCACTTTTCGTTGGTTGAATCAGTTTTTTGCGGTTTTTCTCCATTTCTTATTTTTGGTGCTATATTGGTTTCTCTTCTGTTCTGACTGAAAATAAAAGTTGATTCGGCGTTGTTCTCTAATAAACTACCGGGTTGATGATACCATACCTATTTTCTTTTTCTTCTTTTACCCCGTTCTTTCCCGCTCTTCTTGAAATCGCTTTCAATTTAGTCTTTTTATTTTTATTATTATTTTTTATTTTTATTTTTATTTTTATTTTTTTTGCGGTTTTATGTTGATTATTGTCATTATCCCTTACTTCATCTTTTTTTTGATTTCTCGCTTTCAAAATCTCGTTTCCTGCCGGTTTTCCCCCTTGTTTCCCTATTTTGTAGCTCTTAAATTTCCCCTTGGGGCTGGTTTGGTTGATTGGGTTAACTGGTTCTGGTGGATTTGATGGAATTGATTGATGTCTCTCTTACTCTTTTTTTCCTCCTGTTATTATTTCTGTACTCGTATCTCCTTCACCAACCACCATGCAGTTAAAAAAAAAAAAAAAGAAAGAAAAACAAGAGAAACTAAGAAAATAAAAATTTTCAGAGAGCCAACTTTGGATCTTTATTCCCCCTCAATACTGAATATAATATATTTACGGACAGCAATTACAAAAAAAAAAAGTGACAAATTGATCAGGAACCAAGTTTGCACGAAATCCACCATCATTATTGTATTTAACGAGATATACAAGATGAAAAAATAAAAGATAAAATGGCCGGAGTTAAAATAAATCAAAAACTAGAACGACAAATAAAAGATATACTCGAAGAAATATACGGCGAGGCCCAGCTCGCCCTACAACAGATAGAAATAGACACAAACAATCATACCCGAAAAGGTTGTATATATTTACCAACAACCCCTAGCCACACAAACATCCAAAAAAGAAAAAGGCCGTCATCGTTGGTGGAAAGAAATAGGAACGGGAGAAAAAGGAGAAGAGAGAGAGAGAAATCATTCATACCTACCTCCACTCTCCTCCTGCCTATCATTCAATGATGTGCAGAAACCCAGCGCTGACTGGGTGGCCCTCTCCACCCGGGTCTCTTTGCCGCCTTTTGCGGATTTGGGTTTTGTTGCTCTCGGCCGCTGTTGAGGCTGGCAATATCGCTGGTCGGATGGGATACTGTCCCGGATACTGTCCCTCCTCTGTTACTGCCGCTGTTGCTATTGTTGTTATTGTGGATATAGTTGCGGCTTCTTCCACTACTACCGCCACTAGTACTACTGGGATATAACGGAGTGGAAACATGGGACTGAGCAAAAGAGGCGGAAGAGGAAGGGATTTCAGGAATTGGGCTAGGGAAAGGTACGGGAATGGGCGCGCGAAAGATTTGAAATTGGGACTCTAGATGTCCACTGGGAGGCGGTTGATGCGGTCCCGGCTGTGGGGAAGCGTTGGGAAAGTAGTTGGTGGTGCCGAGGAGGCCATCTGATTCGTCAATCCAACGCATCAATACGGTATCAACAACGAATGTATACTATGACTTACTTTGAGTATATAGTGTGTGATACAAACTCAACGCTTCTATATACGATCCTAAATCCATGGGAATGGGCTGCAATCCATAATCGCCCGCAACCATAGCAGCGCCATCCACAGTAGTGGTCATATCCGCCGACGAATCTGCGTGCATATTCCTTGGCCTGGGCCTCATCACGTCCGTTTTGAAGTTCTTTTTGATCTCCTGAATCATTTTATCCAGTATCACCTCCATTTCACGAGCCGATTGAGCAGCGCTCATGTGGCTTGAATAGGTATCTGGCATTCGCCACTTGATGTACAGCTTATTTGACGTGTCCGGCAGCGAATAATTCACCGGATGGTGGCAGATGTATAAACTGCAGAGATAACATGCCGGCTTGCTGCAACCTATATATTTATCATCAGGCTCAATGAAGTTGCAGCCATGTTCTTCAATGTAGCTCATCAGGAGAAGTTCAGCGTGTATCTGAGTCTTGGTTTTGAGTTTTTCCCTTATCACCTGAATGATTTCATCTGGGCTCTGATCAAGGCGCTGTTTGAGCATAT